TCACCGTCGGAGTAAAAAATACCTTTCAACCTCCGGTCGACCGAAACCTAATGCAGGAGGCCCTCCTCCGTACAAGTGGTGGTGGCGGTGCCTCCCCAACCTCGTCGCCGCCCTTCGTCGGATGCGTTACATGGAGATTTCCTTTTTTCCTTTTCTCTCGATTTCTCAAATTTTTCTTCTTTTTTTTTTCTTTTTTTTCCCAGATTTGTCCACCACCGCCACCGTAGCCACGTCCCCACTCTCTCTGTCATTCACAGTCGTTGTCGTCGCCTCCCCAGGTTTTTTCGATTTTTTTCTTTTTTTTTTTCTCTCCAAATCTGAAACAGCAGCATCAACGTGACTATTCTGGTTCGAATATGACTATTGTTGATTCACTCGATTAGTGATTTATTTATTTCTCGTGTTCGTTGTTTCTCTCGATTTCTCTCTCTTTACACGACCATAGTCTTGAGCGTTCGACCATTTTTTTGCGAAAAAAAAAAGCCCTACAAATCGATTTGTAGGGCTTTTTAACATGAAATTGGTCCCGTAATCGACCTACCCAATGCATATTACACATATAAGAGTCGAAATTACATCAAAAAATCGAAGCCCAACCCTTCTTCAAGCTTGATTTCGAATTTTCGAATTTTTTTTTTCTTTTTTTTTGCTATTTGCAGTTTTGGGGGGGTTTTTGATATTTTTAAAAGTTTTGGGGGGTTTTGTTAGAAACCGCGAATAGCAATTTTGTGACCGCAAATAGCATTTTCTATTATAAATCTTGCCTCTAAATAATACGGAGTACGGAGACAACACCCATATGATTGTTTATGAGCCGTATCTAATAATGTAAAATTCAAATATATTTACTAATAGAAAATTTATCATCACAAAATTTAAAAATTGTATATTCGAATTAGAATTTTAAATATTTTAATAAAGCAACAAGCATATAATAATTGATTTAATTATTGTTTTTTTTTTTTTTTGAAATCGCAGAAATTTTAATATTTTGTAGGCTATATTTGCAATTGTTAATTACATAAATTTGAAAATTTAGAAAAGTCATTTAATAACTTTCTTGTCAAAAGAAACTAACCCCGGTCGCGAGAAACCAATCGAACTTCGTCATTCAGTTGCACCGCCATAAGCTTGACAATGAAGGAAAAGGTTCGTATGGCGATTCAGAACAGCTCCAATTGAGTTTTTTCCTTTTTTTCCAAATTTTTCGCAAAAGTTTTTACTTGAGATTAGAGCCAGTGGGAGGATTTAAATCAAAATCCCCAGGAATGAAAATAGGAAGCTGATTGGAGACGGCATCCCTCTTAAACCTAGATTCTCGTGGCAAACTTAATGGTAGTAGCTTATCATGATGTCCATCTCTCGAACTCGAGCCTTCCTTCATCGGAGCACTTAGAAGTGGGCCCCCAAAGAAAATCGATTCCCCACTGTACGTTAGCTTCTCTGACTGCAAAGTCTCTCGTGGGAGAGTAGCATTAGCAATTGCATTTGCATTTGCATTTGCATTCGGTGGTGGTGGTGGTGGTGCTGCTGCTAAGGGTAAGAAATATGGTCTTTTACGGGCATCTGAAGCTGATAAAGGAACAGAGACGTATCTTCCAGCTTCTTGATCCCAAACCACAGATGTTCTTTTTACGTCTCGAAACAAGGTTGTCTGAGGAGGTAAAGGGTCCGTATAATTACTATTATTGTTGTTATTGTTGTTGTTGTTGTTGTTGTTGTTGTTGTGCCTTTGCATGATCTTTTCATCGAATCCAGAGGAACTATGGAAGACTGGATTGTTCTTGCTGAGGACAGCACCACCTGCGAGAGGGTTCGGAAGTGGGCTGAGTGTGACCGAGTCGTGAGGGTGAGTTGGGCTGCTGAAGCTGCTGATGCTCTGAGTGCCATTGGTTTCATAGTCGTCGCGACTAGCTTGACTGGGAGCAAAAGAGTTGAGTCTAACAGAAGAATCCTTGTTCTCAGTGCTCACACTGCTTCTGACGCTTGTGTTCTCGCTCACTTCAGAATCGGGCAAACGGCGATTATCGAGAGGGCGCAGTACAGAGGAAGATGCCCTTGCTTTAGCAGCTGCTTTCATAGCCTCGTTCGAATCTAGTTTAGCCAGCTTCCACGCACTGATACGGACACCCTTTTTAGCTCCCCCTCCTTTGTTCCCCTTATCATCGGGATCAACCGTAGATGGCACCATTCCAGGTCCTAACTGCGGTGCTACTTCTTCCTGTCCATATTCAAGTTCGACAACCACTCATGATTTTAGCATCATAACTAGACAGCATACATAATGGAAAAGGAATAATATATGTGTGTGTGTGTATATATATATATATATATATATATATATATATATATATATATATATATATATATACGCACACACCTGATAGTCTACAAACACCCTAGGAGGGGTGCACCATGCTCCTTTATATTGTAGTCCCAAAGAGCTTCCACCGCTGAAACCAGTTGTCGCGGATCCAGATGGAGAATACAAAATGTTTGGTAGTTCCTCGTCTACAGATGCTCCTGCAGGTGCTTCACTCATGGCTCTCATTGCCACAACATACTCATATGTTGTAATACCCTAACATAACAAATCAACAAATACAAGAACAAGAATTCAGGCAACTTTGTAAAGCCCTCCTTGATTAGTTTGTCGTCATATTATACTTATCAAAAAGGAGAAGTACAGAGAAAATGGGATCAATTAGTAGTTATTATACTTACCTAGAGGAGAAACGCAAAGAAAATGAGAATTCCAAGGACTAACCTTTCGAATTAGGATCATGTGAAAAAAGAAAAGTTCCCCCAAGGGCACACATGCAAGAATAGACACGGCTGTACATATAACCTGCAGAATAAAATGTACTCGAGGATAAGAATACTACTCTTTTATAATCACACACTAGCTTATACATATAGTAAGTATATCCACGATGGCATTACCACAACAGTCGCAAATGGGGCACGAGAGAAACCATTTCCTAGCCTATCAACTATTTCAGCTTCCATATGGCTTTTATTAACGAAGCAACGAACTAGAACACCAATGCCAACTCCAGCTTCAACAACGAGCTGAGAATAGATAGAAGGTGTTATAAGTCATCCAAAATGGTATTGTCACGAATCACGTAATCTCCCACTTCCCCTTAACACTTACCCACAATAAGCTGGTGCCCATAAGTGAGATAAATGTTACATAGTTTTTCCGCCCCACGCAGTTATTGAGCCACTACAAAGAATCAATGTAATGATGTTAGCTTTCTCAATAGATAAAACTAATTAAACCTGTGTCGTAAAATATGAAAGACGCGTCATGCATAAAGTATCAAGTTCAAGGGCTGTACCCGACAATGGTGGTCGAATCCATCCACACACTTGTCACAACTTCGACAGTGTTTGCTGAACTTCCGAACCTATAAGGAAGTACATGTGGTAAATCAACCGAAGTAAGAGCTACAGGACCACACAACAGCATAGGATAAAGATAGAAACCTCATAATAATTACCATTACTTATGTGCAAGTGCCTCTTTATATTACACAATCTACAAATCTTTGCCTTAGAAAACCTCTATAACAATTGTACTTCAAGGATAGGGTTCAAGATGACAACAATTTAATTAGTTTATGGGATGCCCTATTGGTAAAAGGGATGAGCAAGTACAACAGTAAATTGGTTTTAAACCAATAATTTCCCAATGTTGTTATCATACACTACTTCCGTCCCATATTAAGTTTCGTTTAAGGTTGATGCACACTAATTCAGAGAGTTTTAAATATCCTTGATTTTAGGTGAAAAAGTTCGTATTTGAAAAAATTACCCATTTGTGGCCTTTTATTTTCTCTTTATCACTTCATTAAAGTTAGGGTAAAGTTGGACAAATAGAAGATGTCCTATTTTGAAATTCTAAAGAGACTTAATATGGGAAACAAAAAGTAAGTGACACTTAACATGAAACCGAGGTAGTAAGAGACAATTGAATATTCCCTATGCCCCAAATTTATGACTCTTATTCTTTAACTGGATATCCCAAAATAAAACTCCATTTTCTAATGGATTTGCCCCCCAAGCTATCCTCTTAACTAAAATGATGATGTCACATTAGCAAATTTCACCAAATCTCGGCCACTACTTTTGACGTAATAATGTGATTGTGTGAACAACATAAACAATTTCACATTTTCAATACTAGATAAAACTTTGATTCAGGTCAAACCGAAGTCTTAATTAGGGAGGAAAAATTATTTGCTATGATTAACACCATTGGTAAAGGAGATCTGACCATAATAAATAACTCCTTATCCAAGTTTCAAGAGGCAGTTAAGAGGAAATTTATTAAACACCCAACTGATGATAATAATACAATAAAAATTTAGACTCCTATGTCCTTAAAGAGAGAGTACTCAGACAAAAATAGAGCCAGCCTTCTGATTATTGTTCTTTTGATGTTAAAACAACTCACAGTCATGATTATGATCTTTATGACAAACTAGATTCGAATTAATACAAAACATGGTAACTGATTACCTACCTCAGCATTACATAGTGTGCAAAACAATGCATCTTCACCTGTACCTTCCACATCAGCTGCATCATCTTGACCGCGGCAATCTTCATGAACAAAGATTGCACAGAGAATCCCTCCGAAAATATAGCAAAAGGAACTCCTCGTAGAAACTACCTGAGCATTGGATTTTACAGACTCAACTGAACCCTTCTTGCTAGAGTTCGCTCCTGCAAAGGAGCTTCGTGAAGCTGAAGATTGACATGAATGAGTCCCATTGCTAACTTCATCAAATTTTCTGTTCAGGCCATGGCCGATTGATTCTTGTTTTTCTCTTGCATCGTTCATTAGATCAGAATCGAATTTATACATGATACCAGGGTCTGCTGGGTTAATAGCAGTACATCGAACATAAAGAATGAAAACCAATAGTGCCTGCATTCGAAAAAATCCTTTTGAAATACATATAGAGTCTTGATAAAAATCGTAAGGAAAAGTAAACTATGAAGAAGAAATGAAAACTACAAATTCAGCTACTATCAAATGAATACTTAAGTAGAAACATCTGTTACTTTTAGATGGGTACTTAAATATGCGAAGGAATTTTGAGGAGATATTGGCCCTGTGCCCCCAAAACAGGACTAAAGTTGACTAAAATTTAAAAACCAACATTAATATAAAACATTGAGGAATTGCATAAAAACCTACGGTACAGAGGCTAACAAATGCTCTAAATTACCATCAAAACTTGATTTTTGTTACGTTAAGTAATAAAGAATGGCTTTGTACTGAATGGCTAGGTTCCGAGAAGCTTAATGTTACTTATATTTAATGTGTACTTTGCATTTGTCTATTATCTTGTCCTCATGATCATACACTTTGAAGTAGTGACTTCCTAATCATTTCCCTTAGATGACTAGTTCCAGTTTATTTCTTGATATAAGTAGCTAATTACACAGTAAATTGACAATGCTTGGTTCTCATTCGGGACTATATTCCATTTTATTCTAGGTAAATATGTTTTAGGAAAAGAAATTGAAAAAACAGAGGTAATGTTTGTTTCTATTTTGAGAAGAGACAATTTACAGTGCATCAATCAAATCAAATCATATCTAAAGGTGTTGGAAGAAAGGTTTTTCAGAAAAAGAATATGAAAATAAAGTGATGCTTGTTTGTATTTTCATTTTTCACTAAAGACATTTTTTACTATAGCAGTTAAATCATGTTAGAAGGAGGGGGTAGCTTTTGAAAGGCATTTCCTAAATGTTTTCGAAAAGCTTAACAAACATAATTTCATTTTATGGAAAGAGTGGGAAAATTTTCGAAAAGCATAACAAACATTGCTGGCCTTTCCATTTCAGAAGATAATTTTTGGAGTTTGAATATCTCTCATAACTTTGCACTTAAAAAGTTTTCATTGCACAAGCTCCTTCCAATAATCCTACTCCTTTCTTCTGGCTACTCATTGACACTTGTACTGATTAACTGTAGAGAGTTTAGTAGTATAGCTAGCTTAAGCCGGTTACTTCGTTGTTCTTATTTTTAAGTATTTGGATTTGATTTCATTAAGAAGCCTATCTACTTGCCAAGCTTTGTAAGTGTGTTTGTTTAATATAACGGTCCACTCAGATCTGTGTGAAAAGAATGTCAGATTGACATCAATAGTCATCTGCAGATAAATTCACGTACCACTGGGGAATAAGCACCAATCAGAACATACTCCCATATTCGACCTCCAAGGAAAGGGGCAAAGAAAGCATAGAATGCAACCACTAACAAGCAAAACACAGTGACAGCAACAACCTGTGAAGGAAGAATTCAAGGAGTTGTCAGTGAACATGCATCTATATAACTATGAACAAGCAATTTTTCAATCAAAGAACAGTTTAGAATATGTCGTGGTGTATTCATGTTACGAAAACATCACTACTGCAGAACCTGAATCCTTTACTATCATGATGATTGAGAGCATTTCAACTTATCAGGCTTGATATAATAAATAGGCTCACAAACTGCTGAATTTATCCTCAGTACTAAGCTTGAATGACATATGTTTTAGCCAAATCCAATTCAACATCGAATAACTAGTTACTTTACACTGTATTAGGTGATGAGCCAGCTTTTTCAAGCTCAAAATGTGTGCATCCTGAACGAGTTTTCTACTAAGCCTAGTGAATCTTGAGCAGACTTACAGTAAGAAAAAATGAACTGGTACCAAAAGGTTGAAAGCTTAACAAGTATCGAGCAAAATATTGTTTCACAGAATCCAACTATGAACATTAGTACCACAACAAATGCGCGGCTAAGTCTTAAAAAGATTCATAGAGCACTATGATCCATTTATACAACAATATATCTCTCCTCCAATCAATTATAACAGAAAAAAAAATATTCAACGAGGTAAAAAAAATGTGGATACTAAAAAACAACTTATTAGAGCATGTATAACTTATCCTCTCGAATGTGCTGAGTGCTAATGATAAACAATAGAGCTAAAAGGACATCAAACTATACTGGGTTTTCCCAAAAAATAAAATAGTACTAACTAGTGTACACGAATAGTTAATAGATGTACGACCAATCTTAATTGTAACATGACCGTTGTGGCTTTAGATGTATGGTATTGGCTTCTTCCGTGTGGGTGCGCGTGTTGTAGGTCGCATTATATAGGATTTTGTTTTTTCTATTAATGGAACGTGCTGACGTTTTGCGGTTATGTTATGGTTAACTATAGGCCTTTGAATTAATTTCCACATAAAATGCAATTAACGACCATTTTCTTATAGAAATAAATCACTAAGCATAGATAGAAACTTTAGCAATGAATCTTGCAAAGAGGTTTTGAGGAGTAACATAAGAATGTCTTTGAGTTGTAGGGAGTAAGAAAATCATAAATTCCATTACATGGTGTATACCATCTAGCAGAACTAAATATGACGTGGATCAATCAGAAGAGGTAAGCATAGAAGTATTTGCCAAACGGATGAACTCAGTGTTACATCTTCTTCTTGGAAAAGCATGGATTTTCAAGAACAAGAATTAGAATATGTTGGGGATCTCTTATGATGATCAAGGGATATAAGCACACACTTTTTTAAGACAACCCAATCCAACTCATACTTGTTGATGTTTATACCAATTGGTCATAAAATACAGTTTCTGGTTTAATTTCGATTAAGATTCCTTGTTGAGAGTCCACAAGGTGTCTAAAAGAATACATTAGGGCAAGCGTAGCTACAATTATGAATCAGTGCAGATCCTCTACAACTTCAAAAGACGAGCAATCAATTATAATTCACATCTAGTAAGTAATATAACAAGTTTCGAGAGAAGAAAATAAGGAAAGTTCTTGAATCTGAGACTGAATCTCAGCAAGCCCCTAATCTCTTACGCACGTGTAGGTATCTACATAGCATTATTCAGTTACTAACTCCTACAAATGCTTACAAAGAAGTACAAAAACAATGTGGATTCCGCTCAGTAAACAATACCCGAAATAGATTGTATGACAAACGCGTGCATAACATAAAAGGTAGAATAATAACTAGAAGCAAGACAAAATGACAAATACCGAAAGCACTCTTTTCAAATGAGGGATCTCGACAAGTTAAAAGCCACAGATAAAAAGAAATCGACCACGAATCGCAACTTAAGAAACTGTGAACACATAGATCATAAACCCCATCTCACCCACACCATAATCATAATCCTCCCCATCGCCAATTCAGTTACACAATTGACTATTACCAAAATAAAATCAACATTAATAATGTACACACACTATATATACACACATATATATATATACAGAGAGAGAGAGAGAGAGAGAGAGAGAGAGAGAGAGAGAGAGGTAAAACAAAAACCTGAAAGGTGTGAGCGGGCAACTGCCAGCCATGGCGTCTCACCATCACTATGTTACTTCAGCACAACACTTTTCCCCCTCTCTGAATCCTAATTGAGACACACTTGAGTCAATTTCCCTCTTCTATCTTCTTCCGAAACCCTCAAAATCAAGTATGCTTCCAAATGGGTTTCAGAAAACTAAAAGAACAAAATTATAGAAAAAAGTGAATGAATTAATAAACAATTACTAGTAGAGTAGAAAGAAGTCATCAGAAATATAAAAAACCATTTTCTTCCGAAAAATCAGAATATTTTATACTAAAATTAAAATACACTCCAAGACAAAAAAAAAAATGGAAGCGTGGAAAAAATACCGGCAAGTCAAACTTTTGTCCGCTTCAAACCGAGGTGGAAAAACAGAGAATGGAAGCGGAAGTGGACAAAAGCGACGGCGGAGGGTTGACGAGAGAGGGTTGGTTACCTGCCGGAATATACTGTGTGTGTGTGTGTGTGTGTGTGTTTGGTGTAAGTCTGATAAATGTGACGTTGGTTAAGCCTCTTTACTACATGGAAGAAGAAAAAGAAAAAGAAAAAGGTGCTTTTAATGTGGTTTAGTTGTTTTTTTTTTGTGGTCCCATTAATTAAATTTTTCCAATTACTTTTGCTACCAAATTTCTTCTTTTATTTTCTTACCTTTAATGTATCAATCAATTCTTACTTAGATAGAAATTCTCCTAATTAGGGTTTTGATATTGTCACTTATCTCAAATGGTATTTTTACTTGGTAGAGGAATTTCATTTATCTTTAATTTTGAAACACAAACTATTTCAAACTTTCGATATCTATTCAAACCCTCTGCGTTCAATTCGGTATGCACGGCTTACAATTTGAGGGTAGAAATTTTTTAGAGTTTACATCAATTTCAAAAGCAGAATGGATATTTGAAGACTTGTTTGAAAAAGTGTATATGTCTCTTCCCTTGGGTTATCAACCACCTATCTCATAACATTCTTCTCTTGGTCAACAATTAATGTTGTGCAAATTGATCAAGTCCTAATATGCCCTAAAGTATGGCTCTAGATAACGGAATGTCAAGTTTAAAGAAACCATAATAAAATTAGGTTTTCTCAGTCTAAAATTGACTACATCTTGTTTACAAAAGGTTATGATTTTAACTTTTTTGTTATTTTTGTGTATGTAGATGACATCATTACTGCCGGTCCAAATTCATCTGAGATAAACAGTGTCATTCACATACTCAGTCAAGCATTCAAGCTCAAGACATCTTGAACCTCTCGAGTACTTTCTTGGAATTGAGGTGGCTAGATCAACATTATGATTCTTCATTTCCCAAAAGAAAGTATGCACTTCAACTAATTGATAATTGTGATTATCTAGCATCTAAAATTTCATATATTTTCATGTTCCCAACTTTTCAATAAAAATATAGATACAGTTTCAGAATAAATAGACGCGAAAACATTAATCATTAATTATTTTGGTGGTGTTTGTAAAAGTTTATTTTAAAACAAAAGTTAGTGATTGTGACTTAAGTTGAAATTAAGTGTTTATTTTTAAAAGTTGCGGGTGTTTGTAAATTAGCTGGAAAATCAACTAAAATAGAAAAAGCAAGTACCTAGGTGCTTTTAAAATTATAGCTTAAAACAGATTATTTTTAGAGAAGCAAAAGCAAACACCTAAAAACAAATTATGTGTAGAAAAAAAACTCATAGTATATTTCTAAAAGCTTTTACAAACGCCACATTTGCCAAAATTGTTCTAGCTAATACACAAGTACTCAAGACAATATTACCAAATCTTCGATTTAGCTGTTTGATTAACTCGTTATTCTAGGCCTTGTTTGGTTGACAACCTTTATATGGCGGTGGCTGCCACTACTAGGGTCATCGCGTTAAATTCTTGGAGACACCATTTGTCTTTCTTCAACAAAATAAGAAGATCCGGATTCCTTCTTCGTTATAATAATGTCGAATTTACAGCCTCCCAACAATTTTATACTTGTATTTATATGCAAAAGTTAAAAAAAAAAAAAAAAGCCTTCATATTTAAGTGAAGTAACCGCAATATTCGAATAACTCAAACTAAAGGATTCAAGCAAATAAATGTTCAATTGTAATAATAATTACAGCCACAACAAACAGGTATATGTTAAGCATAAAATTTAAAGACTGCAGTATGGAATATGAAAGCATAGCGCGCACACTCATAAAGGACATAATAATTATGAAGCAAATATACAATTAGAGACGAGCAATTAGGCTGCAGCTATGGAGACAATAATTATCAACGATTAAATATTATATTGTGAATATTAATAATAAGTGTTTTCACATCTCTCGTTGGGACCAACGGTAATAATAGAGAATTCTATTGAAAAAGTAGAAAACAAACTATGAAATAATGTATTTTTATAGTTAGGTGATCGATTTTTTAAGTTTTCAAAAAGAGAATTCGCGCAGTCACAAAATTCGACATTTAGATGTTGATATTTTAGCAAAAAATCGACATCCTACATGTCGATTTGGGTGACAAGAATCGACACGTACAAGTCGATTTTTCGCCAAAAAATCAACATCTAGATTTTTTGCCAAAAAATCGACATCTAGAAAAGCAACATGTAAATGTCGATTTTCACCAAAAAATCAACATGTAGGTCGAATTTTCTTTTTTTTCTTCCCTTTCTTCTTGTTCTTCATCTTCTTCTTCTTCTATTTGTTCTTCTTCTTCTTCTTCCTCTTCCTCATCTTCTTCTTCTTCTTTATGCTCTTCTTCTTCTTCTTCTTCTTCTTCTTCTTCTTCTTCTCATCCTTCCTCCTCCTTCCATCTTCTTCATCTCTTCCTCTTCAAGAACCTGCGGTTGGGCGGCGGCAATTCTTCGGAGGCGGATGGGCGGCGACAACAATTCTCGCCTTGTGTTCTTCTCTTCTCCCGTTAGAGCATTCCCTCTTGTTTTCTAATTTCCTTTTTTTTCTTTTTGGAGAAAGAAAGAAGAGGAAGCACTCGTCGTCGGCGTGTGGAAGATAAACAATCTTCTTTCTCAACAACATGTTCCACCCCGTCGGCGTGTGGAGGAAGAAGAAGAGGACCGGGCTGTTGAGAAAGAAGAGGAAGTACTCGCCATCGGAGGAAAATCAACGGAAATTATTGATGAAGGTATTTGTTTTTGCGGACATTGAAATACTAATTTGCGTTTTTTTGTATGAATTATTTATTTTATTCTTGTTAAGGATTGGTTGAATTGTGTGGTGGACGGTGTGGTGACGATGGGGAGGCAGATTTATGATTTTTTGGTGGACCGGGCGGAGGAAGGCTCGTGTAGAGAAATTCGCGCAGAATGGAATCTTAATCGACTGTGTACATGTTCAATAGTCGATTAAGCTAATCGAATATGCTCTGGTAGTCGATTAAGGTTGATCGACTCCAATATTTTTTATCTTTTTGGATTTTTTCTTTATTGATTCCAATTGTATAAATCATTTATAATGTTTGTATATTTTTTGTTTTTGTAATATATAGTTGATTTTTCATTTTTTCGCAGTTGTGATTTGTTATTTTTAGTAGCAGATTCTTAACCGACTATGCTTCACATCACAGTTGATTAATATGCTTCATTGACTCCATTTTTTTTTTTTTTGATTTTTTGTTTATTGATTCCAATTGTATAAATCAATTATAATGTTTGTATATATTGTTTGTTTTTTGTAAAATATAATTGAATTTGCATTTTTGTAGTTGTGGTTTGTTATTTTTAGTAGTCGGTTCCTTAATAGAATATAGTTTATCATAGTCGATTTAATATGATTCATAGTCGATTAATATACTTGATAGCGAAAAATAAAGTTAAAAAAAGAAAAAAAAATTAAAATGATAATAATATAATAATAAAATAATAATTAAAAAAAAAAAAAGACAGTTGGGTCATGGGCGAATAGTGCTGATGAAGTGGTAAAAAAATTAACATAATAGAAAAAATGAGTGATTGAAATTATGAATAGGTTTTTTTCAAATGGTGCAAAATAGTTTGAGTCTCTCTCTATTAAAAGAAGTATTGAGGGATTATATCAAATAGCACTTTAATTTATATTAAAACTGCCATGGATTATCAGCAATATGTTCACTTATAAAAGTTGTGTTCGTCTCCATGGTTATAATTTTTACCTAGTGTATATATATTGCGTCTAACGGTGACTAAATTGAAACGTACTTGATTCCAATATTATTTATGTAATATCATTTTATATAACTACTAAATAACTGAATATTTGTTTTAACTAGTAAATTTTACCCTTATACATTTCTGTATCATTACAATAAACAATCATTCCTTTATACCTCAGTGTAGCGCGCGTGCGGCTCAGAACATCTAAGGGCATCATAAACCTGTTTTTGCCTCAAATTTCCGCGGCCTAAAAGGCCATAATCCTTCTAAAGAAGCTGGCCACGAAGGGATGCCTGCGCATACTTAGTTAGCAGGCTGAGGTCTAGTTCGTTAACGGAATTAACCAGACAAATTGCTCCACCAACTAAGAACGGCCATGCAACACCACCCATAGAATCTAGAAAGTGTTTCAAGACGGGTCAAATGGGGAGCCCGCTGGCCAGCACCGGGAGCGCGCAGTTGCCGAGGCACGCCGAGGGCGCGTGTTGTCCGCCACGATCAGGGCGACGGCATTTCATGGGCATATCAACTACTCGGGCTTTGGCTGATGCCTCAATCCGCACTGGTCCGCACCTCAAGTCGATCGGCGGAGTTATTTCTTAGTAAGAGCTGTCAGATTTACCAAAAATACAATCAGAGAAGAACCTCTCTAAGCGTCTCCAACCTTCTTGAGGAGTAACCAAAGTCACCAAAGTCAGGTAGTCTCTTTGAAATTCGTTCTTACTAAATATATCTACCCATTCTGGATTTAGGTGTATTGCATAATTTAATGCAGGGATTAGCATGGTTGTTGGTTTTTTTGACGATCAAACAAGAGATTTATTAAGTAGGATGACCAATAGCCAATGGGAAGGCAACATCTTCACCACCTACGTGACCACATAAGGAAGCAAGAGCGTGATGTCATTGACAGCCTCCTCGAACGTGTTGCGAATGCTAAGTGATTGAAAACGGACAAATAACTTAAGAAGATAAGAGAGCTTTGTAGGAAAGTACTTGAATTGCTTGAGTGCTTACAATTGCTTGGATTTCTTGGATGCTTACAAATGAATTCCTATCCTATTTATACTAGGCCACCTCCTTAATGGATAGTGGAGATCTATTTGATCTAAGGGCTAGGGATTGTTCCCTAGAACATTCTAAAGAACTCCTACAAAATATCTACAAAAGAAAGGTTCTAGAAAGTTTTCTAGAATCCTCTAAGAATCTCTACCAAGTCTATTTACATTTGGGTCAACTTGGACCTAATACTATTTGGGCTTTTTTAACCTCTCCAATCCAAGGAAAACTGGCAAAGAGTTGGGCCGAAACTGACGGGCCGTGACATTCTCCCCCGCTTAATCCGGCAACGTCCTCGTTACCTCGAACAA